AACGGTCTGCAAATCAGCGCCTATCTTGGACCATTCCCATGTCCTTGTTCAATCTATTTGTTTCCATGTGTCCCTTTTTAAAGTTAAATGACTTTCCAGACGAAGTCATCACTCACGACCAAGTCTATTTGTAATTAAATTTCCCTTAAATATTCTTGATCTGAGGAAAAAAACTGCAATAAAAACACCCCTTGTAAGATACAATTTGAATTCTATGTTTGTAATTCACTAATACACTCTAGAATTTTTCCATAGAGCCCAGTTTTTGTAAATTGCATTTGACGATTTGTATGGAAATTTGATTTTTTTTTTGAGTGGGGTTTTGTGGGGTTTCTCCAGCTATCATTCCCAGCCTACGATCACTGGCAAAGAATTAAAATATCATTTCTGAACCTACGCTCAATAGTTTCAATTGAGTGTGTGTCTTCTGCATAGAAGCAAGGGAATCATTCAAACAACTCTTGAAATCCTTTGAATCAAAAAATTATCCCAAATTTAAACTGGCATGGAACAAATGATATAATGTATCATTACATAATCAGAAAAAAATAAGTAGATGTATCTTGATAGATACATGTCTTTGTTTATTTTCAACTAATAGTTGAAGCTTACTTGCCAATGTAAATATTTAGCTGGAATAAAATTCCAAGTAAGATGGATGTTAAAAAATCAAAAGGAGTACAAAAAATAGAGCTGTTTAAAAATATTTTTGAATCTCTCAGCATAGCTGTTTCAAATGTTGAGTAACCACTAAAAAAATGTAGTGTCCACTCAACCAGAATTGTAGTGATCTAAGCTCACCTTGGGCTATAGAGACACGTTTGTTAATTAACACAGGCCAACAGTTTTCTTATTATGCTACCTAATGCTGTGTAGGGTTATGACAGACATCAGGTTTAGCTCAGCAGTTCAATAAGGTACATATGTGGGTTTCCTGACCTGGCTTCTCTCTCTATTTACAAAAAAAAAAACAGACTTTGTAAAATCCTCAGTTCATGTTGACCTGTCTACACCAAATGAGAATCTGGCCACTGTATGATGCGTGTGTTTGATCTGCAGGGAGCTTTTTGCACTAGCCCAGGGGGTCCCTGCCTAATCACAGTTTGAACATCAATTTTATTTTAAAGAGTTGACTTTTAAGGCAGAGGTTTCTGTCTGTTAATATGGCTCCAGATTGCAAGAACTTTTGCCCTATGCTATGAAACTCTAGCACTTTGCTGGATGCCCAACACCATGTCACTCAAATGCCTTACAGGGGCCGCAGTAAAAGGCATAATAGAGGTAAAACTGTCCCCTTTCTAGCTTCCTTTTCTCAAAGCCATGCCCATGATCTGAGAAGACATAATCGCCAGATTTGACAGAGGGCTTAATAAAGAAATTAACCCACCTAACTGAAAAGAAAATAAGGGGAGAAGGAAATCGATTGAGCTATCCCAGCTCCCATTTGGATCAGGGATAAATCATAAGGATTTTATGCTGATGATTTGAATGGTCATTTGTGCAGAATAAACTTATTAGATGCTTTCTTGTATATATATAAGTATATATAAATAAATGAGAGTAGCAAGAGTTGCTCAGATCTGCTACTAGTACCCACTGGGGATTTGCAGTAATCATCTCACCAAAAGAAGATTAAATGCCATGAATGCATTATTGCAGCCAAATTACTGGGCATGTTCATTGAAAGGGAGGGGGCAAAGTTTTCAAAGAAAAATCTTTACCCTAGGGAGTGCGGAGGGAAGGGATTCGCCTTGATGGTTTTCTTAAATATGTCCCATCATGGGAGAGAAACTTTGCCACTTTTTCCAACCCACTCCTTCACTGAGAAAATTAAACGTACAAGAGAAGTTGTTAATAGTATGGTTGAAATGCTGGTCGTCTGTGAAAAGGTTCAAAAAGAATGTGATTCCTATTTAAGTCGTATGGATTCTTGATTGTTACTCGTTAAAGAAGGTATTTTGCATTATGAATGAAGTACCATAGATACTGAGTATTATTAGTATATGCACACATCATTATATGTGTATCTTATACTGAGCGATACCCATGCTGTCGCATGCTTTTTGCAATCCTACATTTGCACAAGTGTAACTTAATAAAAAAATTTCTCCAGGGCTTGAGATCCGATGAAACATGCTATCTGAATGCCAGGTATGTTGTTGTTTCCACTCAATATATTTGTGTGAGAACCCGTGCCTGTTACATTACTGCTAAATCCTAGCTTAATTCTAAATCTGGAGAATGGTTACATTGCATACAGATGCATTTTTAAAAAAACCAATATTTCTATTCCTACTGTTTTCACTGCCTACCTTGTCCTAAATAAAATGCATATAGGAACAGTGAAAATTCCTACCTCTGCGGAGCAACTGTCTCTAAATCAAGCCCTATTTAAAAACCCAAGAGAAACTAAAGGTTCGCTGATTCAAAGGATTAATTTCGCTGATCGGATAGTCAACTTAAATATGAATTAGGGTTATTTCCCGTGATCCTTTTGTTGTAATCGACAAGTACAGGGACTTGGGGAAATTTAGCCTTTTAAGGATTCTGCTTTTCTCTTGCTAAAAAACAATCAACAAATATCCAAGCTTTACTTTCTCAGGCCCGAATGGGGAAGTACAGTAGACAACACAGGGGAATCAGCATGCAGGAATGTTAAGGGGGAGTGCTGATAAATTTGGGATTGGCTAAAAGGACAAACCATCTGATTTTGTGTAGATCAGAAATTCCAGCCAAGGGCTGGTGCAATAGTTAATTCGGTGGAATGAAAGTTCCCTGATATTTGCCCTGCGTCACATACTGTGATGTTTGCCCTTCATTTAAAAAACAAAATAGCTACATGGAACAGGAAAGGAAAACCAGTCCGAGCAGCAAGTAAAACAGAGATGGGTTGAGACCTCGACAAAAGCAATTCTGACGCATTTCTAGCCTGTGGGTTTCCACTTTACCCTGATCCCGTTAAGAAATGGGACCTGGGATTCTCTTGGCACTGGGGAGTAGATGGGGATGGGGTGGGAATGATCTTAAGAATATACTGAGTCCCTAAAACAGCAGTGTAGCAACTGTAAACTCACAGCTGGAGAGGGAGAGCCCTGGTTAGGGCTTTGGGGGATAGATAGCAGGGTGGCAGGTAGGGAAGGAAGAGAATACACAGGGAACCACAGGGCGCTTGCAGGGAGGACTGTCAAGTGGAAGGCTGATGCCTGGTACACATGACCCTGTTGCCTTCAGTAAGGGGGGAGCTGAGGAGGTCTGCAGAGGTGGGCATCCTGTCTAGAGAGCAGAGAAAGGATGGGAAAGGAGAGAGTGAGAAAACAGACAGAGGGAAAGAAAGAAAAGAGAGATGTCATGAGAGAGGAGAGGGAGAGAGACAATTAGGGAAAGAGAAAAGGGGATGGAGAGCGAGGAGGAGGGAACGGGAAGGGAAGAAAGATTTAGAGAAGGAAAAGAAAAGTAGTGAGAAAAGAGAAAGTGGATGAATAAGAAAATGGTAGAGACATAGAAAAGAAAGGCATGAAGAAATTCAAGAGAGAGAAAAGGGGGGAGAGAGAAAAGAAAAAGAATAAAAAGACAGATTTTCTTTCTCTTTTTCATTTCTCTGTCTTTGGAATGAGAGAGGAATGACCAAAGAAAGAAAACCTTTCCTTCTTTCTCTCCTTTCACGTTCCCATTTTTCTCTCTCACTCCTCTTTCTTCCTGAGAAAGAAAGAGAAAACAGAGAGAGAGAACACAAAAAGAAAGAAAACTCAGAGAGCGAGAGAGAGAGAAAAGAAAGACTAGAGAAGGAACATCAAAAGAAACCAGAGAAAAGAAAGCAAGATAACACAGAGAGAGAAACAAAAGAGAGACACAGAAGGGATGAAAAAGAAAAGAAAAGAAAGAAAGAAAGAAAGAAAGAAAGAAAGAAAGAAAGAAAGAAA